ACAGTACTAATTTTGTGGCAACTCTGTCCACTAGGGAACAAAACATATTGCAACACAGTTCTTCAGAGGGTTGACAACTTATCAGAACAGTGTGAGTGAGGATAACAGGCTGTCTCTTTCTCTCTGTTTTCATGCACTTATTATTATTTTTTGTTTGTGGTATTGGATACTGAAACCAGGTCTTGTCCACGCTAGGCAAGTGCTCTACCACCGGGCCACACCTCAGCCCCTCACTTGGGGATTCTAGGCAGGGGCTCTGTGACTGAACCATACTTCCCAGCTCCTTTCTGATGGCTTCTAAACAAGTATTCTACTACTGAGCTGTAGCCCTTTTTTTTCTGAACCCTCGAACCCATACCAACCTTTAACTGCTGTTCCCTTATCTGAGCTTCTTGCTTTACTCGTTGCCTTCTTATAATGGACATTTTTAAAGGATGTGGAAAAGTGAGGAGAATGATGGCAAATGTCCATGATGACATCATCCGGATCTTTAACCTATCATCAGTCTAGGGCATCTTTCCTTTGTGTATTTCTCCCCCATCTTTAGCTAAACTATTATACATTATTTATCTGTTCAGGGATGATGTTTTGCTATGTAGCCCATCTCCAGTGATCTTCCTTCCTCAGCATCAGGACTACAAATACACTTGCGCGCGCGCGCACGCGCGCGCACACACACACACACATGCACACACACGGAGCAGCTCTGGTTATCTGCACAAGATCAAGCTAGACAAAATTCTAGCGTGGATGAGGGAGGAGCCTGATTGGAGCAGCTGTCAGCAGCTGATGTTTGCTGGAGGAGGAAGAGTCATTCTTCTAGGACTGCAGCCACTAGTGGGTTATTCGGGCCTCAGTGGATGGCCACACATTCATGCCATAGAAGGCGAAAGCTAACAGCTGAAAGGACAAACAGTGGGTTTGTTATGCCTTTGAAGGCTTGGTCACCGGTTGTCGGTGCTGTGTGGGGAAGTTTAAGAGGCGAGACCTTATTGAGGAAGTATGCCACTGGAGGTGGGCTTTGAGAGTTTCAAAACTTCTCCCCCTCTAGCAATTCTCTCTCTGCTTTGTGATTGACGCTGAAGATCTGAGTTCTGAGCTTGCTGCTCCAGCTGGCCTGTAGCCATGCCTGCCGATTCCCCACCATGACGGTCTCTTGTCCCTCTGGAATCTAAGCCCGGATAAACTCTTTCTTCTATATGTTGCCTTGGCCTTGTTTTATCAGGGCAGCAGGAGAGTAACTAGTCCAGTGCCTGTGGATGAATGGGAAACTGTGGGCTTAAAGATTCCTTTTTATTTTGTATGTGCATTGGAATTTATCTGCACGTATGTTCGTGTGAGGGTGTCGGGTCTCCTAGAACTGGAGTTACAGACAGTTGTGAGCTGCCACGGGGATGCTGGGAGTTGAACCAGGGTCCCCTGGAAAAGAGGTCAGTGCTCTTAACTGCTGAGCCGTCTCCCCAGCCCTAAGCAACTGTGGTTTCAAGCTAGATGTGGCACAGCCAGCCGCACCATCACCTAAAAGTCTGAGGCAAGACAATTAGACAACTAAGCTACGTTTATCTGGTTATAGACATCATGTAAGTCAGTCGCTTCTGTGTACTTTGGCCTCTATTTCTGTCAGAGGAAGCCTTATGAAACAAAAACAAAACAACCCTATTGCATTATTGCAAACTAACACTAAGCAAAAATGTTAGTAATATTATGTAAATTTCAGGCTGTATTTCAGTGTTCATAACTGACTAAAAAAGTTCTAAGTCTTCTGTAACAAACCTGGAAAATCTTCTCCCCCACTGCCTCCATGGTTTTCCCTCTTGCTCTCTCTTGATCCACACTGTGGTACTTTCTCTTCCATCCCCATGGAAGCTACTCTCCTTTCCACTACCCCTGGCTTCCAAAGTGCTAAATATGAAGACAAGTTGGGTGGCTCAGGCCTAGAATCTCAGCTGCTTGGAGGCTGAGGCAGGAGGATGAGGAGTTCAAGGCCTGCTTAGGCTACAGAGTGGGTTCAAGGCCAGCTGGGAATCTTAGGGGTAGAGCCCCTGCCTAGAATCCCTCATCGAATGCTTGCCTTGCAAGTGCAAATTCCAAGGTTAAATCACCAGTGAAAACAAGGTGGCAGCTGCAGTTCTCAGGTTGCTAATTTGATCTTTAAGCAGCATTTGAATTAATTCATCTTTTTCCTTGTACTTTTTTTTCCTTTTTGTTTTGAGACAGAGTCTCAATATTTTGTAGTTCTAATTATCCTCAACCTAGTGATCCTTCTGACTCCACCACATGAGTGCTGTTATCACTGGTGTTACCAAGTCTGGCTAAATAACTTTAATTATGGTAAAATACTGAAAGCATAAACTTCGCTACTGCATTCATTTAAAATATATAATTAAAATAATCTAGCTGGGTAGTTGTGGCGCACACCTCTAATCCCAGCTCTTGCGAGGCAGAGGCAGGCAATCTCTGAGTTCCAGGCCAATGTGGTCTACAGACTGAGTGCCAGGACAGCCAGAGCCATTACAGAGAGAAACCCTGTCTCAAAAACTCACACGCACACATACACACAAAGACACACAGACACACAGACACACACACACATTCTTTGAGGACTTCATGCAATGTATTTTGATCATACTGACCCTTAATCTTTCCCTCACTCCTTACCAATCCACCCCACCTCCCTAGAACCCCAACTTTGTGTTCTCTGTTTTGTTGTTTTGTTTTAAAAGAACCTATTGAAGCCATCTTGTACTGCCCATACTCAAGGGTGTTGGGTCATCTACTGGAATGTGGCTGATCTACCACTGGCCACACCCTTAAAGAAAACTGTCTCTCCACCCTCCAGATGCCATCAACTGCTCAGAGGTGGGGGCACGTGAGCCTCTTCTGATTCCGTGCTTGACAGTTGACTGGTTTGGTCTTGTCCCAGCAGCCACAGGTGTCACGATCTCAGGAGTGCAGCAGCTCTGTCACACCAGATGACACTGTGTTGCTCTGGTTTTCCCTGACCACAGGCTCTTGCAATCTTTCTGTCCCCCTTCCTGCACAGGTCCTTTAGCCTGGGCTGTTGGTGGCGGTGGGTCTTGGAGACGTTCTGTTTGTGACAGAGCACGTCCTGGACACTTATTCTCCTGCACTTTGACCAGTGTCTAATCCCCTCGCCCATTTTCCAGTGCTCAGTTCTGTGGTAGGATTGCCCTTCGGTGTTGTGTAAGCCATTACCAGAACCCTTAACCTCTTGCCAAACTGACATCTGATACTAGTTAAACACAGATTTCCGTGTCTCGCTCCCTTCAGCCCCGGACAGGGCGTTCTGTCTTTATGAATTTCACTGCCCTGGGACACAGAATTGTACACAATTTGTCTCTTTTGGAGGCTGTTTTGTCTGTGAGTGTTTGACTGTGTGTGAGTTCAGAAGACTGTTGGATCCCCTAGGACTGGAGTTACAGATATGAGCCCCCAGGTAGATGCTGGGAATGAGCCCCACTCCTTTGAGAGCAGTAAGTCTCTTAACTGTTGAGCCATCTCCCCTGCCTTTGAATTTTTGGGCAGGGCCTCATGTGGCGAAGTTTGGCCTTGCCTCCTGTCCCTACATCCTGTGTGTGCTTCCAGGCATGGTTGTAAATTTCATAGATCCTTTTTTGGGGGGAGTAGGCTGAAGAAATTCCTTTCTATTTTTATATTTAGAATTAAAAAATACTCATTTATTTTTATTTTATGTGTGTGGATGTTTTTCCTGTGTGTTTAACTGAACACCACTTTCATGCAATGTCTGAGAAGGCCAGTAGAGGGCATCAGAGCCTTTGCAACCAGAGTTCTGAAGGCTGTGAGCAGCCAAGTGGATGGTGGGAACTGAATTCGAGTGTTTTTAACCACTGAGCCATTTCTCCCAGGGTCCTTGGGCATTTTTATAAGGAGTGAAAGACAGATTTTTTTTGACAAGGTTTATCTGTGTAGCCTTGGCTTTCCTGGAACTCATTCTGTAGACCAGGTTGACCTTGAACTCAGAGGTCTGTTTTTCTTTGCTGCCAAGTATTGAGATTAAAGGCCACCACCGCCAGGCTGAAACTGGATTTTTTTGGTCAAATGTTTCATCTGCACCTATTGGGAGATCACGTTGGACTTTTTCAGAGTGTTGCTGGTTGAACAAGGATGGCCAGGAACACACTGAGCTCTTGGGTTTTTGAGTCAGCGTCTCACTAGAAAGCCCAGGCTAGCCTTGAGCTCATGACCCCTGCTGCCTCCTCCTCCAGAGTGTATAAGCTGTAGGCATATATCACTTGGCTTCTTTTTATCACTTTCTTTGCTTTTTTTTTTTTTTTTTTGGACAGAGTTTCTCTGTGTAGTCCTGGATGTCCTGGAACTCACTTTGTAGACCAGGCTGGATTTGAACTCATAAAAATCAGCATGCCTCTGCTTTCCGAGTATTGGGATTAAAGGCATGTGCCACCACTGCCCAGCTTCATTGTTTCTTAAAAAATGTGTGGAATTAAAGGCAGGCAGATCTTTGTGAGTTCAAAGCCAGCCCAGCTTGGTCTATAGAGCGAGTTCCAGGACAGCCAGGGCTACAGTGAGAAACCCTGTCTTGAAAAACAAAAACAAAAACAAAAAACTGCCTGGAGCAGGCTCTTAACAAATTGCCTAGGCAGGCACTGAACTCACAGTTTCCTGCTTCTACCTCCCGAGTGCTGGGTTTGTGCCGCCACACCAAGCCTGTTTTCAGGATTTTAAGGATTTAATTTTAGTTATAATTATGTTTATGTTTGTGATTGTGTGTGGACATGTGCGTGAAGAAGGATCAGATCCCATGGAGCTGGAGTTACAGACAGTTGTGAGCTACCACGTGGGTGCTGGGGATTGAAACTGGGTCTTCTGAGGGAGTGGCTAGTGGTCTTGAAAGCTGAGCTGTCCTTCTCATCCCTATTTTCATGTTGATCTTTTTGAGACAGAGCTTGACTACACAGCTCGGGCTGGCCTCTAACTTGCATTCTGCTTCTGTCTCCCAGGTACCAACATGAGTGTGCCTTACCTCTGCCTCTGAAATGCCTTTGGAAACACTGGGGGACTCAGGTGATGGGAGACACTGGCATAGGTTCCGGCACACTATTAAGAGCTTGTTTGTTCCTAAGCGTTTTTATGTAATGGTTACAGCATGTGACCCAAAGCTGAGGTTCACAAGTTTAAGGCTTGACTGGGCTACACAGTGTGTTCAGAATCAGCCTGGGCAACTGAGCCAGAAATTAGCTGAAAATCAAAAAGACTGGGGCTCTAGCTCAGGGCAGAACAAAGCCCTGGCTTCATTGTCTTGAAATGTAATAATTTCCCCCTATGAATTTGATGTTTGTTCTTTTTCTTATTAATTTTTAATAATTTTTTAATTTTAATTAAATTTTAAATTTTCTTATTAATTTTTATTTTATGTTTGTATTGTGCAAAGTCTGTACTGTATTGCATTTGAATTGTGCATTATTTTGTTAATCCTCATTAGAGTTTCTATTTTGATATGGTTCATAATGAATAGTTGTGAAAAATAAAGAAGGCTCTCTAATTAAAACTTAGAAGCCGGCTGGAGATGTAGTTCAGTGGTGAAATCCTGGCCTGGCACAAAGCGCTGGTGAATGCTTGGTAGCACACACGTGCTCACACCCACTTTCATTGACACTCACACTCAAACACTCACACACATCCATCCACACCCCCCCACACCCCCCTCCATACTCAGACACACTCACGTTCACACAAAGCACACATGCATTCAGGCAAGCACACAAATATGCATTCACACAGAAACACCCATATTCACACACACTCACGTGCTCACACACAGATACATGCTCATGCCCTGTGGGTTGCAATCTCTGGGGGTTGAACAATTCTTTCACAGGGGTTCCCTGAAGCCACTGGAAAGAGCAGATATTTGCCTTATGAGCCATAACAGCAGTAAAATGGCAGTTATGAAATAGCAATGAAGATAATTTTATGGTTGGGGTCACTACGACAGGAGGAACTGTATGAAAGGGTCAGTGTTAGGAAGGGTGAGAACCACTGACCTAGCATAAAGGAGGCAGAAGAGGAGGAGGAAGGGGAAGGAGGAGGAAGAGGAGGAAGAAGAGGAGGAGGAAGAAGAGGAGGAGGAAGAAGAGGAAGAAGAGGAGGAGGAAGAGGAGAAGGAAGAAGACACAGCTTTGGCAGCAGGGCTGGGAGTCCAAGGGAAGTCTGGGCTACAGGGCAAGTCCCTGTCTGCCCCATGGACCACTTAATGCTATATTTAGTTCTAGAGCTGAGAATTGGATCGGATCAATACCTGCTTTTTATATAAATTTTTTTACTTTTTAATTTTTGGTCTGCTTTAAGTGTCAGTCACTACTGTTTAAATCTCTTCTCATGATAGTAGATTTTGTAAATTCTGAGTTTATTTTCATAACCTGAGGCTGTGGGGTTATGTGTTAGGCTCCGCTCCTTCCCCTTCTCCTCTTCCTCCTTCTTGTGAGGCTTGGATGGAGCCAAGGCCTCACACAGGCGGTGTCCTGGGCTGGGTTACTGTTGCTGTGATGAAGCAGCCTGTTCGTGATGGGGAGGGAAGGCTCATCAGGCTCACACTTCCACATCTCTGTGCATCATCAAATGCAGTCAGGACAGGAACTCACACAGGGCAGGAACCTGGGAGCAGGAGCTGATGCAGAGGCCATGGAAGGCGTGCTGCTTACTGGCCTACATCCTGGCTTGTTCATTCTGCTTTCTAGAACCCAGAACCAGCTGCCAACAGGCTGGGCCCTCCCTCATCAATCACTAATTAAGAAAATGTCCTACGGACCTGCCTATAGCCTGATCTAATTTGGACATTTTTTCAATCAAGGCTCTCTCCTCTCCAGTGACCCTAGCTTGGGTCAAGTTATTATATAACTAGCCAGCATATCAGGCAAGCAGTCAACCATTTATGTCTAGACCCTCAATCGTCCTGGAAATTGTCTATTTCTTTTTACCAGTTGCCTTTAGCACTGTAAACATCTTATTAGAAGAACATCTTTGCATTTTCCCGAGCATCTGGAGAGCTGCTTGAATCTGAGCCTTCAGAACAAATCAAGGAGGTATTGGGGGGAGGCCCTCAGTCTGTCTTTGACTTGGCACAGAGTAAGGCAGTTGCTGGCTCCCCATTTGCTTAGTTTCTGGGTCCGTTTGCATCTACACTGCCCTCACACACCTAGGTGAGTTTGTGGAGAAGTCGTGGAGAGTCAAGGAGAGTCACCAGGACAGGATCAATGCCCCCCCTTAGCGCAGCTGGGGTGTCACTTGGGCTTGGCTTATTTGCAGGAACCTTGGCTAAGGTCAACAATGTGAGCACCAGATGCTCTGCAGGGCTGGGGGATTTGCTGTGATGGCAGGTGCTGAGCCAGAAGTTATCTGTCCCTGTTGTCTGCCATAGCCCTGCTTCCCAGAGAAGAAAGAGGAAGCAAAGAGAGAAGAATCTGAGGAACTGATGATGCCAGGGAATCTATTCTTTGGGATTAATGAAATGACGCTGAGCTGTTTGTCTAGGCGCCGTGATTAATCCCAGTGTATGGAGGAGGAAGAGGCAGGTTGATCCAAGTTCTAGGCCAACACGAACTGTTCTTTAGAAAATACTGACTGGTTTTTATTGGTTTGTATGGCTATGTATTTCTGTGTGTGCATGTGCATGCAGAGAGGGCAGAAGAGAGTGTAAGATCTCTGGAGCTGGAGTTATGGGCGGCTGTGAGCTACTTGACCTGGGTGCTAGGAGCCAAACTCTAGTTCTCTATGAGAGCAGCAAGTGCCCTTCATCAAGGAGTCATCTCTCCTGTTCTGATGCTGTCTCTGAAAGGTTTTCAGAACTGCGGGGAGCGCCCAGCACACGCCACTGTTCCTGTCTCTGCAGCACCTACAGTTCCAAAGCCATTGTCCATGTAGCCATATCTTTGGCTTTTACTGAAAAGTAAGAAGTCATGCTTATTATCACTCCCATGATACCTTGAGGAGTCATGCGGAACCCCAACGAAAATCTACACCCCATCTCTCCTGAGCCCTAGGGATGCCAGAGGCTTTGCTTGACAGTGGATTTGGGCTCTGTTGGTGAATGCGAATGAATGATACCAGTTTGGACAAGTAAGACCTGGGAGCTGAAGGGTGAGCTCGCCGCCGTTATTCCCTGGTGCTGTTTACGGCCATGCCTGATTTTTCTGTTAACTTTTGGATTATCGGGATTAACCTTTCTTTTCCCATCTCTGTCACTTCTCCCTGGAAGGCGGTTTGCCAACCATGAGCCTCCCCTTTCAAACAAAACAAACTTCAAAGGAGCTGGCTCTACCATCTCCTCCCTCACAAGCTGTGCCTGAAGATGTTTACCGTGATGGGTGGAGAGAAATGTCAGCTTCTTTGGAGAGATTTGCTCCCATGGAGAGGTCATGGCGTTGCCTGTAAACATGAGTGCACAACAGTCTCAGCTTCTAATGTTTTAGCTGTCCGCGATTAACAGCAGGGCTGTCTGAGGTGCACGGATTCTTTTATTTAATTATTTTTCTTTTACAAAAGCTTATTATTTCATAATTACACACACATATCTTCTCTAAATTGAGTTTTTTTTTTTTAAATAGCATGTGCATTGGTATTGTGCTTGCATGGATGTCTGTATAAGGGTGTCAGATCCTCTGGAACTGGAGTTACAGACAGTTGTGAGCTGTCAAGTGGATCCTGAGAATTGAACCCTGGTCCTCTGGAAGAGGAAACAGTTCTCCTAACCACTGAGCCATCTCTCTAGCCCAATCACATCCTCTCTATTCCCTCCCCTTGTGTGCATCTTCATCTTCCTCCAAACTTTTTTGCTCCGACTTTCATGCCTTTGTGAGTGTGAGTGAGTTTGAGTGTGTGTTGTGTAAGTGTGAGTTGTGTTGTATGAGTGTGTGTTGTGTGTGTGTGTGTGTGTGTGTGTGACTCACTGCATTCGATTAGGATTTCTCATTTGAGAGTGGGTGAGGAGCAATTTACTTCAGTGTGGACACTTAGCAGAGACTACATCACTGCAGTGTCTCCAGCTCCTCCGGAAGGGGAGGGATTGTATTACCCCGCCCCCATCCATGATGGAGTGGCCACAGGCCCCACGGTGTGTGACCCTTGTTTAGTGTGTTCATGCGAGCAGCATCTGTCATGTGTAGAAGTCCTTCCATTCTTTCCGGCTTCTCCTTCATGGTGTTCCCTGAGCTTTGGGGGGTGCCTGGGGGAGCAGGTGTCCCATTAGGGCTGAGCAGGCCCCAGTAACTTATTCTCAGCTCTGCCCAGTTGTGAGCCTTAGCTTTTTTTCTTCTCATTAGCGTATATTCACTGTATCAGGTGATGGATTTTATTATGACACTTTCTTTAAAAAATGTTTACTTCTTTTCATGTGCACCACGTGTGTCCTGGTGCGTGAGGAGGCCAGAAGAGAGTGCTGGTATAAAATGTTTGATAAAAGACTGAAAATTAGGGTCAGAGCCGTGAGCACCAAGAGCTAACCAGAAACAAAAATGTTCATTTCTTGTAGTGCAGCAGACAATGACCTAAGCGATTTGATAGAGGGCTTGGAACAATGTCCAAGCCTATAAACCTCAGTCTTTTGGAGGTTGTTGTCCAGGGGTAGTCTGGGACCACCTGTATGTCAGATGTTTAATTGAGATTCACAACATAAGCAAAACTGCAGTTTTAAATAATAACAGAAAATATTCTGTAATGGGAGGATAACTATACCGTGAAAAACTACATTAAAGGCAAAAGCATTAAAATATTAACTAATGGTTTAAAAATATATTTCCCTGTTCAAGACCTATTCAGGCCTAAAAATGTATGTTTAGCCTCCTTGTCTTTGCTAACTTTGTTGGGTTTAAGCTATTTGGATAAACTGAGCCATAAATGTTTGCATTGATACTAAGAGGTTTGGACCTCCTCTTCTGGGAAGAAAATGTTTCTATACTCAATGACCTGTTAATGATAGAGAACAAAACACTGGATGAAAAATTGTTCAGCTGGTCTCCTTGGTTAACAACCTTGCTTCCAGTTCTAACAGGCCCCTAATGATCTTGCTTCTTCTTATCAACAGACTGATGGCTTTTGTTCAAGAAGGGTCTATGCTGTTCACCTGATGGTACTGAGGTCCCAGTATCACCCCTTGAGCCCCTGGACAGACAGGACCCATGACTGAGTCCTGACATTGGTACTTGTGAAGGCGGGGGGGGGGGGAGGGAATGTAGGGCTTAGGGAAGCTTTCCCAGGGCAACATGGCACACACCTACCAAAATGGGTTCTGTATATCAGCAGGAAGGTAGACCTGAGTCTCAGTTTGCCCTAGGGCAATGCTAGTTCTTAGACTCTCTCCTGTTCCCATTTCACCTTGGGACCTATTCCTTGCCTTTGCAGGAGACAGCATTGACAGCTGGATATAAACTTGTTCTGTGTTTACCCTCGGAATGGCTAATTCGGTTTCTTTATTAGCTTCAATTCAAAATCATTGCAGAGTGTGGAGTTCTAGTCTTGTGATAGTGGCTAACTTATTGTAGACTATTAGGAAATACAAGTTAGTCAGTCATCGTTAAAGTACTGATATAATTAGTTACAAGAATAAGCCTTATTTAGTTTCCTGTATATGTTTTTCAAAGTCAAACTTAAAACAAATAATGAGAAATAAAGTTTATTTAGTCAGATATACTTGGGAATCCTAGGTATATTCAGAGATCTGCAGAATATGGCATTTAAACTAATGATTAAAAAGCTTATTACATTAGATAGAGACCCCAAGATCCTAGCAGTAACCCAAGGTCTCCAAAGAAGATTAGGAGACACCATGATGTCTCCACCTGGATTAGGACGACGCTGACCACTGGGCGAGGTGACCCCAGTGCAACACTGGCTGCCAGGACCCGGTCCAGACTGTGGACAAACAGCAGGACCCTGGAGAATTGATTGCACCACTTCTGCCTAGACAAAATAAGGTCAGTCTTTTCCATGTCCCTCTTCCACAGAAAAACAAAATAATTCACCTTATGGGCCTGGCTGAGACAGTAAGACTGATGTTCTGGATACTTCTGCCTCCAGTGCTATGGAGACCTGGGTATGACTAACTGTATATGGACTCTGGTCCCTGTCACTTTTAATAGATTCGGAAACTACTTGGTCTGTACTCAGATATACTTTATTCATCCTTCTGAGATCTCTGATAGTATTGATGGCTAGGACAGTTATAATGTCAGTTTAGCAGCAAAAGGTATCTAGATTTTTCCACAAAGCTATAGCCAACTTGTTAGCTCATTCTAAAACTACCTACCATACATGATTCTCTGGACAGCAGAAAAATATACATGTTTCTAACCAAAATCTGTAGTTTTTGCTAGGACTCAAAGGTATGAGTCTATTCCTTCTGTTTATAGATACCTGTTATCTGCTCTTTTTCTAAATTTTAACTTCTGTTCCTAATTTAAACTTATCTCAATAGGCTTCCACTTGGCTGGCAGACACATCTAAGCATCAGTTGCTGACTACAACCTGCTCTGAATGGCGGCGAGCCATGGACTTCATGAAAGCTGATGTGGACCAGTCCAGCTGATGTGAACACTCCCTGTTCCTTCAATGAAGTCTGATGAGTGCCCTATTGCCTAAATTCCCTCCCCACCTTTGGCTAGCCTTTCAACCTGCTTGGGCCCTGATAACAATGCCCCAATGTCAGCTTGAAGTAGTTGTGGAAAAGTACATGTCATCTCATGCTCCCTGCCCAAAATAGGTTAAAAGGCTGAGACAAGGAACTCCCTGGCATGGGAACAAGATAATTATCTATAGTGCCTGTTGATATACTAGAAAAATAGGTCCAGAGTTGTCAATGAATAGATTTATTGATTTAAGTAGTTCCGTACCTCCTTAAAACCAGGGGCAAGCAGGACCCAAGATAGGGTCCTGTCATCGGTGCTTGTAAAGGGGTAAAGCCATGATAAGCTAAATATGAACAGATCACCCAAAGGAAGTTCTTTACTTCCAACCATTATCAGCTGCCAGAGTAGGACTCAGCCATCGATAAGTTTAAGGGAGGCCCGAGTCTCAGTAGTTTACCCTGAAGCAATACCTGGTTGCAGGAAGAACCACAATCTGAGATTACCAGAGCACCACCCAGGAACAAACCATCCAAAGGAAATGCCTAACGTTCCAACCGCTGTAGATAGGCTCACCTGCCAGCACATACTCACCAGGACACCCCTAGACAAATGTCAGCCAATTAGGGGTCCTGAACCTAAGAAACTCCTCACCCCCACCTTTACTACTATGAAAATCCAACTTTAACTGAGCTGGGGACTCTCCATTTATTCCAATA